AAGAAAGGAAGAAAGATGCACTGGGTGTCGCCTGGCGTTTGATCTCTCGCAGTAGATGCAGACAGTTACGGTACGGCCGGGCGTACAAGCAACTTGTACGTGAGACTGGTTGGAGAACCGAGTTGGACACGTAAGCACAGCAAGCGGCGAACAATGACGGATAGATGTTGCTCGACAGACGGGACAAGGATGGCGAATGAAAGCGATCGGGCGAAGAAACAAGTTGCACGGGAGGGGAGAAAGTCTTTGGATTTCGTTTAATCTTCGAGGCGAAACACAGAACGAGTACACGTTAGTAGTACGTGATTCGTCGACCGGTTGTGTCGCCCCTATCCGTTCACTCCGTATATGTACGACTCGTTCTGTTTACTTGTAAATATCTGGAAAATATCTCGCGCGTTACGGCGAGAATGCTGATGAACATCGGCGATTTCAGCGAGGGATTTCACCGAGGGACTAGCTACAGTTGGGATCATTGATGCGAGGTGAGCGGTTGAAAGTTGAGAGTGTATCGCCGGGATTGTTGCACGTCGTTCGAAAGGCCATCGATTTTGACAGAGTAATTAGCTACGATAGCACACGCAAACAGAGAGGGAAAGTTAAGGATTACAGTGACCTTTCATTCAGAACTGGTTTTATCGTTCGTCCGCTATTGTTGCGTTTCTGCGTGCTCGTTTTATGTACGCACTTACGTGCAAACGTCGATTCTGGGCAAATGAAAAATCGAACGTCCCTGATTGATCCTTTTAATTATTCTGTCACATTGTTTACGCTCATCGGATTATTTATATATCGCTGATAATTCGACCTATAATAAACGTACGTAGTTGGAGATCGCGCTCGTTGCTTGTATTTCCGTAGAAATCAATATAACGTCGGTTAGACCGAACACCAACTACAATTGCGACGTTGAATCGGTCATTTGATCGTTTTATTCGTTTTGTTTCACCTTCTCGGAAGGAAAACTTCTTAACAAATGGAATTGTGTCATTATCGGCCCGGAGGCAATCGAAACGCCTCTTATTGTTAGTCACTGTTGTCGTTCTGACATTCACCGATCATCGTCAGACGCATTCCACGTGTCCATCTGTCGCACAAACTTACATTCGTTCGTACATTTTTCGTCGATCTTACGGAAGAATTCTAGGCCGACGTACCGCGAGAATTCCGACTGCCGAGGCAGTGAGTCGCCAAGCAAGGTCATATTGGAAATTACACTTGCAGCCTGTAATTATACATTACTCGGCCGTGTTTACGGCCGCCTTTGTGCGGGGACGCATTCACGGTTTCTACAACGAGCGTGCCATCCTTTCCTTGGCATTCAGGCAATTTTACCACTCGTATTCTTTTCATTCGACGAACCAGCGACGAACAGACGTTGCAAAAACTGTATAGTCGATTAAAGAGGAGGGAATAATTATCGTTAGTTGAATGCATTTTTCTTTGCTTTCCGCCTTCTTCCCTCCGTACTTTGTGCCTCGATCTTTCTGCCTTTCGTTCCTTTCCTATCTGGTCCTTTTTGTTTCCTTTCGTCTTGGAGACAACGGATAACACGATGACTTTTCCTCAAGCTCGATCAGAGGTAAACGAGAAGATTATTCAATCTTATCGGGACATAGTTTGACGAATAACCGTGAGTTAAATCCCAATTATTTTATCAGATAGTAATAAAGTTATAGTTTGACGAATAACCGTGAATTAAATCTCAATTACTCCATTATCAGATAGTAATAACGTAACGTCCGAGGACAGTTGCGTTCTCCTTCGATACAGCTGCCAAGCTTGTAAAAATCTCTTTTTGACTTTCATATGACAGATGTTTGTTACCTTATTTTATACAGCGCTCAGGATAATTAGAGGATCTTTTCTTGCGTTTCGTTGATTTTTGCAATGTTACATTTTACGATCTTGAAATTGTTGAAAAGTCACCTTTATTGCGATATCAATAAACGAATAAAACGAGCCTCTGAACATTTACATTCAGCATTTACATGTCGTTCTTTCCACTTAGAACTTCATTCGTGGTAACGATCCTCTACTTGTCTACTTGAGCAAAATAGTTCGACTTTGTGACTTGAGGAGTTACAGCTAATATCACGTTCGTTTGTTTTCGCAGGTGCATACCGTCGTCTCACAGCGAGTCGGGAGCAATTCACGATTAAAGGACGTGGCACTCTGGTACACGGATACGCCGGTGATCGTACCCGCGGTGGAAATCCCACCGATCTCTTCGTTCACGTTCCGTATCGTTCGCGTTTTACCTTCTTCTCTGTCCTTCTCTGATCGAGACGTGGTCGAGACGTTAGTCGGCCCGTTACGAGAAAACGGCGACTCCCTCTGTCAAATTGCAGGGATTCCCGAGTGGCGAGTGATCTCGCGGCTCGAAATCGGGACACGAGAAACGTCGTGGCGTGATAATATCATCGTCGAGCACGATGGCTTGCGAATTCTTTAAGGTGAGTCTTAATATTGTTAACGAACATTGAAAATATAGAAAGGAAAAAAAAAGAACAAAATAGAGAGAAAAAGAAAAGAAAGGAAAAAAATACATCGCTGTTCATACACATAGCTCGTGCACATAGTAAGCGCTTGCCAATTTGTCGGCAGTTATATTCGATAGCCAGCTAATTGTTTCGTAACTACCGGATATAACCGTGCCTACTCCTACTTCTCGAGATTATAAGATTACTCGTTACGAGATTACGGTGTTAATTGATCGAGAGACGAGAGGAGGGCTCAATGACTCCGTAATTGCACCAAGCCACGGTATAAGGATGTTTCGCGCACCTATGCCGCGGCTACGTGCAATTTCTTCCGCTTCTTCTGCCACTGAACGCTTCGAAGTGCTGCGCACGACTTCCGATCTGTCCAATCTATCCGTCTATATTTATTCACATATTTTTTTTTTTCATTTTTAGCCTGATGCAAAACAAATTGTATTGAATAAAAACGATTGTACGTTGAACGATTAACGAGATCGTTGATATCGTCGAGCTTCGTTCGACTTATACTTACTTAGTCGCGGTACTTTTCCACCGTGCGGTTTACGTGAATCACGCATGCGTCGAATTGTACGGAGAAAACGGAAGGTCGTTGCAACTCCTGTTGTTTCAGATGTGGAATTTCGCGTCGGAAGTTCGCGAGTACGAGTTTACTTAACGACGGCGAACGACATTAATAATGCTCGTTATTGTGGTACTTTAATTGTCGTCGTGAGACGGAGCTCGATGCATGCAGGAAGCCCGGCTTAATTACTGCAGCACGATCTTGCAGTAACTGGCTCATCGTTTCCAATTTTACGTGCACGTCGGCCGGAATGGAAATTTATAAGCTTCGTTTCGCTGTGATCGAAACCGTCCGGGGGAAACGTTACGTCGAGAAATTTCACGTCGGAGAAATTTCACGTCCCGCGTCGCTCGGCTTACTCGCCGGTACACCGCCGAGCAAACGATTTCAATTTGATTGAATCGCGAAAGTAGTCGATGTTCACCGTGACTCGCTCGTGTTAACTCGTTCCTCTATTTACCGGTGAAACCGGCTGCACTTTCAGCAACGCTCGCCTGCGAGCGGGAAAACTTTCCCAAAGCTTAGCTTTGTGTACGGCCCCCGTACGAACTGGTGAGCAACTTTGCGTGAATTAATCATCGTGCTTTCTCTTGTTTCGACTGCTGTCAGACTTTCGGCGAATTGACGCGAGAATCGTTCTCGATTAATTTGCAACGGAACCATGTTACGGATCCGTGTCTGACTGCGTGT